GCCCGAGGTTTGGAGGGGAGGATGTCGGCGGGCGGAGGAGCGGAGGCACGGGCAAGCGCAGAAGAGCGGGCAGGGAGGGAGAGGACGGCGCTTGCCTGCAAGCAGCTTGCTGCTTGCATGCCTGGGCAGCTCACCACTGGCGCGCAGGCCTGCAGGCATGCCGGGGGGTGGACCTGTGCATTGGATGACTTGGCTGAGCACCCGCAGTTGCGCTTGCGCGTGGTCGGATTCGTTTCTTCGTGTGTGCACGATCAGGTCGTTTTCCCCGTGCCCGTGCCCGCGCGAGCGCCTGCGCATTTGGCCTGTGAGACAGCATCCAGCCATACGATGCCGTTGCTGCATGTCGAAGCTGTTCTGGGCGTCCTAAAGTGCTTCGTCTACCCAACATATTTCAGACGATTGACCGGGTGACTCATTGTCAGGACTGGGTTCGATCGACGAAAGCATTGAAACCCGTGCGAATATCTTAGCTTCTGAGTGGGACAGGGCCGAGACTGCCCAGCGGATGACCGTCCAGCGGCGACCTACATGGTCTCTGCATGAGTCTAAGAATTTCACGTCAGGGTGGAGGTCCAGAGGGTTGGAGCTTATGTTAAGTATGTGTCTTCTTTGCCAGGGCGCCTGCATCCTGGCTAATCCTCCTGCCATGGTTGCTCGTCCCAAGCCGTTCTGGATGAAGTCTTTCCTCTCTCTCTTTCTGTCTCTCTCTCTCTCTGTCCGTCTCGCTTCGGATGTGTTGAATGGCGCGATCCTGACGCGCTTTGGATTGGGCGGGCTGTCCGCCTCCTTACAAGAGTCGCGTTGGAAGTCGCTGTGGGAATCGCTCCTCAGAGCCAGCTCGCCAGGATGAGCTCCCCCCCCTACGCCCGCGACGCCCAAGTGTCAGCCAGGGGAGCTAGCAGGGTGAACACTGGCTGGATTATGTCGTCTTGATTTCTTGCTTTCGGAATTGAGTCTTGGGTTGCCGCGTCCGTTTTACGCCCGCGTGCAATTCAGCGCGTCTCTAGCTCAATTTCTCTTTGGGGGCGGGCGTTGCTTGGAGAGGCTTTGCCCAGAACATCAGCCCTTGGTTTCACTTTGGGGCTCGGCGCCGGTCGAGGAGTCCGGGCGGCCAGGCCAGACGCCCAGTGCCGGCGAATGGCCGGGACTTGTCCCAGCGATCCGAATCTGTATCCGCATCCAGAGCTGTCTGGCCCCTGCAGTTGAAGACGGTCTGTCCTCAGGGCCCTCTGCCCTCGGTTGAAGAACGCACCCACTGCGCGCTGAAACAACATTGCATCTGCCGCATGTCGGAAAATGCCACCGTCAATGAGAGCACACTGGATGGGAATCTCATTGAAAAAAGGGCCCCCGCCCCCGCTCGAGCGCGACCATTTTTTGTTTTTCCTCATTCGCTTTTCCTGTGCAATTTCCATACAGTTGTTCACCAAGGTTTCCGCCAAGGTCTTCACCAGCCTAGTGGGAGAACATTTCGCACCACGGCGGCCCCACTGGCCGCGGTGGCGGATGGTCCTCAGGTCAGCAAGGCTGGCAGCCTTGCAACGCAGCCCTGCATGTTCCGTCCGCCAGGTGTCGTTGGAAGGGCTCCAGCGAGGAACGGGCGCGCATAGGCTGCCCCGAAACTGCCGGTCAAGGGGAGATCGGCATTGTGTGGGGACATAGCCACTCAATCCAAGAGCACGACGCGCGACAAATGACAAGAGGCGATCTTCAGCGCCGAAGCCCAGCTTTGGAGGCACAACGCAATCGGCCGCGCGCTTGCGAGCAGACTACCGTTGCAAATCTATGGGGAGCACGAGTCGGATCAGCATTTTCCTAGCAATTTGTTTGTTCACGTGTCGTTTTTGGCTACATCCGCCACAGTGACAAATGGGGTCCGAGCATGTCGAGTCGGATGATGCTGCCACGTCGCAGATGCATCGGCGGTGCGACTCGATTCGGAGCCCGGTTTTCTCTAACCGATGTCGCCGATGCATCGCCGATCTTCCGACCCTATCTCTTCGGATCCCGTTTGGGCGGCTTCCACTCTCCCCCTCCCCATGTGCTGAAGTCCGGACCCCTTGGGCCCATGATCCATGCAACAGGAGCATCGGATGGCACCGTTTCACCACAGCGCCGTGCAGCGCCACTACGCCGCCGCCTCGTACCCTGCAGAGCGGCTCTTGCACCTGCGTTTGCTTTCAGCGAGCCCGACGGCCCTCCGAGGGCCCAGGCGCGGGCGACCCCCGCATCGCTGCATCCCATCCATGCCTCCAGAAGTTTGCCCCCCCCCCCCCCCCCAGTGTGTCGTCTTCGCTGCTGGCCAGGCGCTCCTCCGATGCATGCTGCGGGGCAGCACTGCCGTGGCGGTTTGCAGTCCGAGAGCTCGTTGAGTCATCGTCGCTTGGCTGGTGTGATCATTGCCGGAGAAAAAAGTTCTCCCGCCAAGGATCAAAGCACACGGTGATACGGCACCACCTTCTCTGTCACGTTCGGTTGGGGACTCGGCAACCCCAACAGT